CAATCTATGCAGATATCAGGATCATATAGTAAAGAAATGTATATTAAGTGTGGTGTCCCACAAGGAACTGTCTTAGGTCCGCTGTTATTCAATATATATTTAAATGATATTTTCCAAATTAATTGTTTTGGCAAAATAACTAGTTTTGCAGATGATACTGCAATATTATATGAAGGCACTGACTGGTCTGATCTGAAAAATGTAATTGAAAATGATTTTATCAAAATTATTCGGTGGTTTAACAGTAGAAAATTAAGCATTAACTACTCTAAAACACATTTTTTACCATTTGGATCTTATGCTAGACATCTGCCAAATTACACAAATTTCTCCTTCAATATTAATGATCAAAAAATGCAAATTAATAGAGTGCCCAACATAAAATACCTTGGAGTCGTCTTGGATCCTCACTTACGATGGGACATCCATGTCAATTATATTTTAAAGAAAGTTAGATTTGTATCCTACAAAATTAAATACCTTGGGAATATATTGACAGAAAAATATCTTCGAACATTATACCATGCACTGATTGAGCCTCATCTCACATATGGTATATTAGCATGGGGAGCTGCATGTTCCTCACATATCTATAATTTAGATGTTTTTCAAAAAAGAATTCTAAAAATGATATTTAAAAAACCGAAACTTTAACCCACTGAAAAATTATACGCAGATGTTCGAATGTATGATATAAGATAGCTTTATTTCTTACACAGTATCACTCACTACCATAAATTTGTAAACACCGACCAAAAAATTAAACATAATCATTATACCAGGTACAAAATTCGTGGCACAGTAGTTCCTCAACCGCATAAATCTATAATGCAGCGATCATATCTCCATTTAGCGCCTAAATTTTATGAAATTATACCTAAAGACTTAAAAGATTTACGTTTCGGAAATTGTTTCAAAAGAAATTTAAAAAAGTGGCTACATTCTATATCTAGGACTGAAATTCATAAACTCATAAATACGAACATCAACTAAATACATAATCTATTGTAGCTAATTTTTGTCCTTTTTGTCATTTGCATTCTACAGTTTCAACTTAAATTTATTGGTCCATGTACAGGCGATGCCTTCTATTGGGCCTGTTTTGATTTTATATTTATTTACTCATATTTTTTGTTATCTTTGTACATTGAGTGAATAAATATTATTATTATTATATGCTTTTAAGTACAGGGTGCGGCAGAGAGGGTGGACGGGGTGGGTAATACTCTCCGCCTCCGTCTTCGAGAGAGGTGGCGAGGGTGCCGTTTGACTCGTGAGATCCTAGCATTATTTTACCAGTTGTCGTTATGGAGCCTTGGACGGTAGAGCACCGCGTTTTCGCCTATGATCGTTTCGACCGAAATAATGAGTCAGTCATCGACGTACAGCGTGAGTTTGTCGCCACTTCAACATTCATCGGAACAGAGCTGTTCCCTCTCGAAACACCATCCTTCGTTGGGTTGAATCACTTCGCAGGCGTGGTGAACTGATCAACAGAAGACCAAGAGGAGCGCCGCGAACAGTTCGAACTCCTGAAAATGTTGAACGCGTTCGACAGGTCTTTCTTCGCAGTCCGACTCGATCTGCCCGGAAACATGCTGCTGCACTTCGCCTTAGTGATCGTTCGGTAAGGCGAATTTTGCATATGGATCTCCGCTTTCACCCCTATAAATTGGCCATTGTGCAACAGTTACAGCCCGGAGATTATGCACAACGAATGAACTTCGCACGTGAGATGGAAGCACTGATCGATCAAAATGAGAACCTCATTTTGTTAATGAGTGACGAAGCCCACTTTCACCTAAACAGCATGGTTAACCAGCAGAATTGTCGTTATTGGGCTAATGAAAATCCGCAACAGTTACACGAAAGACCGCTGCACAGCCCAAAAGTAATGGTTTGGTGCGCTGGGAGATCTTGGTGGCCATGGTAACAATGTGACATCATTATGTTGAAAGAAGTCTATTGTGACTCTTGCAACATGTGGTCGGGCATTATCTTGTTGGAAAGTTGGATCTGCCAGTGTGTCAAGATAGGGTAAAAGATGGGGTTCTAGAACTTCGTGGATATAACGCTGCGAGTTCATGTTACCTCTGATGAAGATTAAAGATGACCTGGAACCATAAGCTATAGCACCCCAAACCATAACTCCAACAGTGTGATGAACATGTCTTTCAACAAAAAACTGTGGATTCCTCCTTTCACCACGTCGCCTTCTAACCCTGGCACGACCATCGTGCATGCCTAAACAAAATCGAGACTCGTCACTAAAGACAATACTGTTCCATTCCTGATCCCAGAGTGACCGTTGTCTGCACCACTCAAGGCGATTACGTCGGTGTTCTCGAGTTACAGGGAGGACCCAGTGTGGCCGGTATGAAAACAAGCCAAAACTTCTCATTCGTCGGTAAACACTTCGCATGCCAATAGGTCTTCCGTGTTCTGCAAACCATTCATTTGCAATGGACCTGGTAGTGGAGAAACGGTCCCTTAAGGCCAATAATCTTAGGCGGCGATCTTCACGGTCTGTTGTTCTACGGCGGCGTCCAGTGCCCCTTGCTCTTTGCGTACGGCCTTCTCGAAGCCATGCCTGACAACACCTAACCACAGTGTCTACACTTCTTTGAACTCTAACTGCAAATGCCCGAAAAGAAAGTCCAGCTTCCCGACGTCCCACTATACGGCCCCTATCAAACTCACTAAGTTGACGAAATCGTACAGGTCTCCGTACTCTAGGCATCGTAACCGATCGTAAAGGATGTCAAGAACCAAAATCCGCCAACGTTGATTCTTTACTGCGGCTGAAATATTAATTTTTAGAGCGTTAGTGAATAAAAAAAGCAGTTTAAAAACCGGAATGTCCAACTGATAAGGCTGAACATTTTTTCACTTGTTATTTACAGTAAGATAAATACGTTCACCAACTTTTATTAAAATAAAACCATTTAAACTGGGTGTTCGGATTTATATGACACTTAGTATAGTTCGCTCCCATGTTACATTTGAAAGTTTGAAAAGGAGATTAGGATTAAACTTTCGCAGATTTATAACTCAACCATTATAATCTTTCATATTTTTCTGGTATCCCTCAGTACGTTTATATGAAACTTTAGGCGATAGGTAAATGATATTCAGGAAATAAAATTTCATTGAGCACTTTTTTGACATGTTGAGAGAATGAAAAATATTGCATCATTATGCTCATTATCAGAGAGGATCATTGCATAAATTTAACAGACGGTTCTTTGAGTAATTTTAATACAAAAAGTTCATGTAAACATAGGTCTGCAAATTCTTCGTTCTTAAGATACAGGGTGTTAAAATAAAAAAAAAGTTTGTTTGTAAATTTCTTAAATATCCTAATAAATTTAACCAAGTTAGGGCTAAATTAGCTCCTCAATGGTATAAATACCACCGTCAAATTACAACAAAATTATGTAAAGGATATTTAAGATATACTAAGTGACATATGAATCCGAACACCCAGTTTAAATGGTTTTATTTTAATAAAATTTTGTATAAGTACTTAATGAAGCATAATAAGTAAATGATAAAAATTTCAAAATGATTGCACTGCTTTAAAGCCCTTTGACCTTTAATAATGTGTGGATGCACCCTGATGTGCTACGCATTCTCCAACGCGCCTATGCATGCTTCTGATCAGGTGGTCAATATCCTCCTGTGGTATCTCATTCCAGGCAACCACCAACTCCTCTCGAAGTGCTTCTAGAGTCTGAGGAGGACGTTGCAAATTGAGCAATCTCCTACCCATCATATCCCACACGTGCTCAATTGGGGATAAGTCGGGAGATCTTGGTGGCCATGGTAACAATGTGACATCATTATGTTGAAAGAAGTCACGTCGCCTTCTAACCCTTACACCGACGTAATCGCCTTGAGTGGTGCAGACAACGGTCACTCTGGGATCAGGAATGGAACAGTATTGTCTTTAGTGACGAGTCTCGATTTTGTTTAGGCATGCACGATGGTCGTGCCAGGGTTAGAAGGCGACGTGGTGAAAGGAGGAATCCACAGTTTTTTGTTGAAAGACATGTTCATCACACTGTTGGAGTTATGGTTTGGGGTGCTATAGCTTATGGTTCCAGGTCACCTTTAATCTTCATCAGAGGTAACATGAACGCGCAGCGTTATATCCACGAAGTTTTAGAACCCCATCTTTTACCCTATCTTGACACCCTGGCAGATCCAACTTTCCAACAAGATAATGCCAGACCACATGTTGCAAGAGTCACAATAGACTTCTTTCGACATAATGATGTCACATTGTTACCATGGCCACCAAGATCTCCCGACTTATCCCCAATTGAGCACGTGTGGGATATGATGGGTAGGAGATTGCTCAATTTGCAACGTCTTCCTCAGACTCTAGAAGCACTTCGAGAGGAGTTGGTGGTTGCCTGGAATGAGATACCACAGGAGGACATTGACCACCTGATCAGAAGCATGCCTAGGCGCGTTGGAGAATGCGTAGCACATCAGGGTGCATCCACACATTATTAAAGGTCAAAGGGCTTTAAAGCAGTGCAATCATTTAGAAATTTTTATCATTTACTTATTATGCTTCATTAAGTACTTATACAAAATTTTATTAAAATAAAACCATTTGAACTATGTGTTCGGATTTATATGTCACTTAGTATATTTACGAAAAACAATTTTTTTAAATTTTTACTCCTTGTATTTTGAGAACGAAGAATTTGCGAACTACGTTTATATCAACTTCTTGTCTTAAAATTACTCAAAGTTCGTTTGTATGGTATATGATTAACACCATGTGTAGGAAGCTATATACTAATGGCAAAAACAAATAAGCTCTTTCACCTGAAATTCATAAATAAATAAAATTTCAAAGCTGCCTTCAAACATTTTTCACATGTACGTTAAGTAAGACTGCCAAAGCAGTCGTACCGTTAGTGAGCGACCTATTCAACACCTGTGACCTGTTGACCAGATGATATAGAGATGAAGGAGTCACCTACCTTGACAACCATGTTGAAAATTCTTAGGTATCACATACGTAAAACAATGCACTAATAGTTTGATGTTCAACTTGTTGAGTTTTGCACAAGTAAATCCTACTGTTACGTAGTATGTTGATGATAATGATTGTTGTTGATAAATTCTGATGTAAATCACAAACCGATTGCCCCCTGCGAAATCTTCATGGGACCCGCTTCCCCCACTCCTTTCTTGTTAATTAATCGAGCGATATTCAGTAGCGGAGATGAGGTCTATAGGATAACATTTATTAGAAAATTATGTTGTTACATCTGAGTTTTCATCGAGTGAAGCACGGAAAACTCTTCAATCAGTGAATAATAATAATAATAAAAATTCAGAAAGAACTTTACTGGCAGACGAAAACTCGACATAGTAACCTGTAAAATTGGTAGTTTCCTTCAAACTGCTTACATCCTTTGATATAAGCCTGGATTAAGCGTAGAAAACCATCTCGGAGGAGATGATTGAATGAATAAATAGTGATAATAATAACATTTAAAAATACACGGATCACAGACATAGCAGTACCTCTTCCACAAAACTACCCACGCAGGGAAAATCAATAAATACCTACCACTTCTTGCTGATGAACTAAAATACGAGGGATGTCTTTTAAGTTTTGCATATTTCTTTGAAGTCAACGTTATTCCTCGCAGTATTAACGTATATTATACTCCTGGGATGTTCAAAAGAAATAGTCAACGGGTGTCAAATCTGGTCATCGCGTTGGCCACGTAACATCACCAAAGCAAATAATAGAGCTATTTTCTTTGAAAACGTTAAGATATATCGTGCCAAAACATGACGTCCTTACAAAGCCTGATCCTGTTAGCTGGTTTTTTGGAAAGTGCAATGGATCACTTTATAGACAGAAGTGCCTTCATATGAACAATACATAGCTCATTATTACGAGGGATGTCTTTTAAGTTTTGCGTATGGAAATAAAACAACACGGTAGGTAGTTTTTAATGACTTTATTGTCTTTCGAAGTATTCTCCACGAAGATTAATACACATCTGCATGCGCTCGAACCAATTTTCGAAGCACCTAATCCACTCGTATGCTGGCAGATCCAAAACGGCATTTTTGAATGCGTCAACTGCTTCTTCTGGTGACTGGAACCTTTGAACACCCAGTGTGTTTTTAATTTTCTGGAAAGTAAAGCAATCGTTAGAACTTAGATCGGGACTATATGCAGGATGATCCAATAATTCCACGCTTTCTTCTGTTAAATAATGCCTTGTTTTTTATGCTGTGTGCGAGCTTGCATTGTCTTGGTGGAGGACGATTCTTCTTTCGGGGTTGATTTTTCGAAGCTCGGTGATGACTTTTGGCAAACAAATGGTGGTATACCAATCCGCAGTAACAGTTCTTTTCTCATTAAGAGGAATTGTTGCAATATGACCCGCTTTTGACACAAATGTTGCGACCATCTTTTTCGAAACACTTCGAGAACGGATGACTTTGGTTGGCTTTTCTTCACCTTGGAACACCCAAACAGCCGACTGTCGTTTATCTTCTGGTTCATAACAGTAAATCCACGATTCGTCACCACTAACAATGCTGTACACATTTTTTGAGTTTCCGGAATTGATACGGTCAAACGTTTTTTGACACCAATTAACCCTGGCTGCTTTCTGCTCTTCAGTCAACAGGTGGGGTATCCAACGAGAAATTAGTTTTCTTACTCCTAGTTCTTCATGTAAAATTTTTTGAATTGAGGTCTTTGAGATCTTCGAGGACGCCTAAATCTCGCGATATGTCACATGTCTATCTTCAATGATAAGTTTGCGCACAGCATCGACGTTTGCCTGGGTGACTGCCGTTTTTGGCGCACCCACCCTAGGATTGTCGCTAAGACTCACCCGTCAACGTATGAATTCTCCATACCAACGGGAAATTGTCGACTGATGTGGCGCATCGTTGCCGAAAACAGACAGTCTCTGAAAGTTGTAGTAAATTATGGCGCGAAAATGTTCTCGATAAGGTAGTCTTTGTGCCTGTTGTTATTGGAGCAACAGGATATATATTAAACAAACTACATCACAGCATAGAGAAACTACAGCTTGGTAAGCGATTATATATCCAGCTTCAGAAAGCCGCGCCATTAGGAACTTGTCATAAAACACTTCTATCCTTGGTTTAGACCCGGAAGAAGGTAGAAGAACCCTCCTAAGAAGAAGCACTTCGCAATGAAATAATAATAATCTTTATTGATGTTAGGCATACAAAAGCACTCACACGTAATTGCACTAAAATATATACAAGAGAAAAAATAAAAACAATGTATTTCACTGGAGTCATCGACTAGAAAAGTTTCAATACTATAGAAAGCTTTCCGCTTTAGGTATGATGATGATATTTTAATTCAGGCAAATATTCGGGTTACGGGACATTCTCATTTATCTTCAACGTCTTCTGTCAGATTTACTAAAAATCAGTGCCAACTATTTTTGTCGGTCTGTTCTGTATCTATTTTGACTATCTTCAATAAACGGTGTAGTGCGGGATCATATGGATGATAATGCGTATAGATTTTTGAAAATTAATGCCCTTACAGAGAAGTTGACCGCAAAAAACAAATGATTTCAAAACCATGCTTTAGAGACGGCGATTATTTTCGAGCGTAGTTTTGTTTTGTGCTTCGAAAAAGGCGCTAGAAGTGACCGAAACGTCAGTAAGCTTTTACTTAGCCATGTTCTACTCCGAAAATCATCGACTTCTAGTGGTGATATTTGAGGATGCTGATGTTGCCGGAAAGTGTAAGAGATACGAAGTCAGTTAAATGGGGGCAAAGTTGCAGTTAGGTAATTGAAAAATAGCTGCTTAGAAAGTTTCGAAATCCAAAGTACCTCCGGAGAGATACGAAAAAAAAAAACAAATTTTCCCAAAATCGTTTTCAGTTTTTTCTGAGTTTACTTCTAGTGGGACTTTTTCCTCTATAAGGTGGCATAATTAGAGTTTCAATATAATGTTTCATCCGTCGTCCCCCACCATCAACTTTATTGTTTCTTATGGACGCCATATAGGATTTTTACACAGATGAATAGAGTTTTGAATTCTGATTCCAAAAAGATATAATATGCCGTACATTGACATTGCCATACCTTAGTTATTTACAAAAGCAGAATTTCCTAGGTAGGCCTTGAAATTATCAGATAGTCTTTTGTTTCGTACACGTGATTTATCCCAAATTATTTTTTATCTTTTCCTGATCTGATTTGAGATGGGATTTCAAGACTTTTGCAGGTTACAATTGTCACTTTTGCTCCTCTACAAAAGATGGCGTACTCAATTTTTTAATTCGAGGTTTCCTCTTTCGACTTCGATCACCAACTTTGTTTGGAATTTTGTACATTTGAGTAGTAGCTGTTGGATTGAAAATTATAAGAAAATAAAAATGCATGGTGACACCTGAAAAAGAAATGAAAATTGATTGATGGTGATAACAATAATCATAAATAAGCAGAGGTAAATCATTGTAGGTGTTCAAAATCTTGTCCGTTATTTTGTAGGCAAGGCCTGACTCTTCTCTGTACATTGTTCGCCGCTCATTTTATTTTTCTTCTTCTCAGTCGTCCGAATTCTGTTACTGTGTTCAATTTTAGGTCTGGTATGGTATACGGAACAAATGATTGATAACTTCAGCCTACCTAGGGAAATTCTGTTTTCCCGAAATGACTAAGGAAAAACTAAGGTCTGTCAATGTATGACATATAATAATAATAACAGGCCTTTATTTATAAAGTACAGAGTAGCACAGGTAAAAAGGCGAAGCGTCAACATAGCTGTCTTGCAACTTAACCCAGGTAAAAAACATCAAGATTAAACATTTGCACAAGTACACACCATAATCTATAAAAAAAACAATACAAGAAAATATATAAATAATAGTAATCTGATGATATTTCATAAATTTGAATAAGAAATGTTTCACACAAAGCATGATAAATCATGTCATAAACTTAATTCATAGCCAGGGACTAAGTAACTATTAAATACTAAGTGACATATAAATCCGAACACCCAGTTTAAATGGTTTTATTTTAATAAAATTTTGTATAAGTACTTAATGAAGCATAATAAGTAAATGATAAAAATTTCAAAATGATTGCACTGCTTTAAAGCCCTTTGACCTTTAATAATGTGTGGATGCACCCTGATGTGCTACGCATTCTCCAACGCGCCTAGGCATGCTTCTGATCAGGTGGTCAATGACCTCCTGTGGTATCTCATTCCAGGCAACCACCAACTCCTCTCGAAGTGCTTCTAGAGTCTGAGGAGGACGTTGCAAATTGAGCAATCTCCTACCCATCATATCCCACACGTGCTCAATTGGGGATAAGTCGGGAGATCTTGGTGGCCATGGTAACAATGTGACATCATTATGTTGAAAGAAGTCTATTGTGACTCTTGCAACATGTGGTCGGACATTATCTTGTTGGAAAGTTGGATCTGCCAGGGTGTCAAGATAGGGTAAAAGATGGGGTTCTAGAACTTCGTGGATATAACGCTGCGCGTTCATGTTACCTCTGATGAAGTTCAAAGGTGACCTGGAACCATAAGCTATAGCACCCCAAACCATAACTCCAACAGTGTGATGAACATGTCTTTCAACAAAAAACTGTGGATTTCTCCTTTCACCACGTCGCCTTCTAACCCTGGCACGACTATCGTGCATGCCTAAACAAAATCGAGACTCGTCACTAAAGACAATACTGTTCCATTCCTGATCCCAGAGTGACCGTTGTCTGCACCACTCAAGGCGATTACGTCGGTGTTCTCGAGTTAAAGGGAGGACCCAGTGTGGCCGGTATGAAAACAAGCCAAAACTTCTCATTCGTCGGTAAACACTTCGCATGCCAATAGGTCTTCCGTGTTCTGCAAACCATTCATTTGCAATGGACCTGGTAGAGAAGAAACGGTCCCTTAAGGCCAATAATCTTAGGCGGCAATCTTCACGGTCTGTTGTTCTACGGCGGCGTCCAGTGCCCCTTGCTCTTTGCGTACGGCCTTCTCGAAGCCATGCCTGACAACACCTAACCACAGAGTCTACACTTCTTTGTACTCTAACTGCAATTGCCCGAAAAGAAAGTCCAGCTTCCCGAAGTCCCACTATACGGCCCCTATCAAACTCACTAAGTTGACGAAATCGTACAGGTCTCCAAACTCTAGGCATCGT